TCTCTCTCTCTCTCTCTCTCTCTCTCTCTCTCTCTCTCTCTCTCTCTTTTTTTCTATTCCATTAACATAATTCGAATAATATTAATTTAATCTACGTATTGGATGTGGCTGACGGCAAAAAGAAATAAGACAATGAATTCAACACGCGATTAGCAACTATCAAATATACATTTCGTGTAAAATGTTTGACTGACAGAACACAGAGTGGCATTTGCAAATAATATGCAAAAATGACATGGGAACTATACAGAATGATCCTAAACTAAAGTTAAATCTAAAGGCAAACAAGTCATGCTAAACGAAAGAATTAAAAGAGGAGACCACAAAAAATTGAATAAAAAAAAATATTTGAACAAAGAACGCGTGCTGTAGTCACGCTCATGTAGCTGTAAATATGAAATCGTTGCAAACGAACTCAGCGCAAATAATTAGTCACAGGCAAAACACACACGAAAAAAAGTACACAGAAACGGAAAGGAAAGGACGTATTTCGAAGCATATGCAAATCACGAATATTTTAATATCTTAAATCGTCTGTGCTTTTAGCTTATGTTGTTACGCGTCACCTTTCATCACTTACCAAAACCTCTGAATATGCCCAAATACGACCTTGGCTGTATGCAATTACATTCACCTCTTTAATTGGTTTTTCATTCAAAAACTATCACCATTCAACCAACATTTAAGGTGAAAAAAATGTTTTTTCTTATCCATTCCATCTATCTCTTTCTCAATATGAATGAAAAACAAAAACTTACGTTGATGCCAAATTTGAGTTCTTTTCACTTTGAACCACATTTAAGCGTGTTTGATTTGTTTTGAAATCATAAATTTTAATCAGTCAACAGATGTGCTACAATCATCTTATCTATATATTACGATTTGATCATAAACATAAGTCACTTTCTTGGCGGTCTTATCACATTCGTGCTGAATTATTTACGTCAAAGAGAAATCCGAGTCGCGTTTTGTAGTGTATAAATTTAAAAAAAAAACATCAAAACAATGACTAAGACAAATGTAAACATGTTACACACTTGCGCAAATAGAGAAAAAAGTGTTGTGCGCATAAACGTTGAATGAATGAAAAAAAAGAGAAAGAAATTGACTTGGATGACGAATAAGACAATGTTTTGGATTCAAATCATTTCATTTCATGGGAATTGCAACTCAAATTTACGGAAATATGAATAATCACATTTCAAAAACATAAACTATATTTTAAGTCAGTCCTTGACAATAAACTCGAAACGGAGTCATACGGTGATTTTATTTCTTTTGTTTGCTATTGCGAGTGAAATAATAAATACGCCAAAACAACAACAACAACGTCAACGACAACGCAGAGCATATGGGTGACAAATGATTACGTTAAATGTGCACGTGCAGCCAGATTTTGTGATATTTACATTGAATGTGGAGCGCGAATATTCGGATATCGGTAACTGTATGACGTTACAATAAAAACAACAATCTAAATTGAAATTTTAAATAATTGGCAAAAAGATCACGTTTCGCACTATCAATAATCGTTTTATTTTATTCAATGAACAAACCGTATGAAATTATGCACTTTCGAACGAAAAATTGCGAGCATTGTGACCGACAATTTTGTTGTCATTATCGGGTCAAAATGACTGTTTTCTAAATCCAAATAAACTCCAAGTACTTTTTTAATTGATAAAAAAGAATTTCGCAGCAAAAAAAAAATGCATGCACGGTCTTTGTTTTCTTTAAATTACGTTTTAAAATTGATCGCTCAATTTAATTTGAAAATGCGTTCTTTTTTACGTATTGCACGTTCAAAGCGTTTTCTTTGTTTGAAATGCATTTTTCAAAATAACAAAAAATAAAATGCTTTTCACAGCGATTAAGTAATTATTGACATTACTTGGTAATTGTATGTTTGTAAGTGCTCAATAACCTTTGAAAGATTGTGTTGTTTGGCCAATGCTATGCGCTTATCTAGTTGCATTGCAATACAATTCCAAATTTCGATATCACAATAAATTGCATGAATTCGAGAAATGGACGAGAAGGATACGAACAAAATTAATTTAAAGCAAACATATGTCGAATACGATGGAAGAAAACAATGTCATTTGAATTCATACAAAGACGCATATTGTTTGGACACACGTGGCTCGAAATGGACACTTTATTTCTACGCTTTAGCGATCTGTTGAAAGCATAAGTTTTTCAATTGAAATTACAAAAGTGCACGCATTTTCATGTTCGGGTATGGCTTTAATGCACGCAGCTAATGTCTGGACAAAATCATAATATTATTTATAAGACAAAATGTTCCGAATGGAAATTGTAAGCAAATAGTTTTATAGAAAGAGAGAGAGAGAGAGAGAAGGCGGCCAATCCTTCAGCACGTATAGAGCATTTCATTTTTATACATTGGTTCCATTCATGGAGATTGTTCTAAGTTAAGTGTTTGTTGTTGGAATTGTGCTGCTATTTGAAACAGAGCATGTCTCGCGTCCCAAAATGTGGAAATACACAGTTAGAGTTATGTATACAGAGCATTTGGTTGTTTTTACCATTAATCGAAGTGTTGAATTATGGTTATTGAATAGAACGGAAAAAAGTAAATAAAATGGAATTTGTGTGTGTGTGTGTTTTTCTGTTTATTTTATGGTTGCCGCTAATGTTTTCATTCACTTGTTCATCGTTTGTTTCTTCGCCACGGCAGCTAATGCACATACAATTCATATTGCTGTTGTTCCTTTCTTTTTTTGTTTCTGTTCATATCGTTGTTTTTCTCATCTTCATTTTCCCAGCCATTCATTCCCGCTGTTAAGATGAAAATGGTTTTCTTTATGCATTTTCTTTCTCTCTCTCTCTCTTTCTTTGTGTTTTTTCTGTTACTCTATCATCCAGACGAACGTTCAACTCTGAATTGTCGTCGTAATGTTTGCTGTAGCGCATTGAAATGACACAATTATACCCAATGTTGTAGTGGCTCTTCATCAGTTCATGTCGGAAGAGTGCGCACTTCTTTTTTCCTTTCTCTCTCTCTCTCCTTTATTGTTCAAAGAAGAAGAAAAAAAGAAACGAGAACGTATACTTTGTTACGTTCAATTTAGTTGCAATTATAATTAACTTTTTCCACTCAAACCCATTCAACAGATTATTTAAATAAAAAAACGTTTTTAAGTCCATGTTTAGAAAAAAAAAAATGCTTGAACTTAATTCACAATACAAAAACGAATTTTTAAATGAATTTGAATGAATATTGATGCAATATAAGCGCGTCGCATAGAAATTATTGTGATGATTTATTCTATGTCAAGATTACGAGTCTGTGTTTTTTTTCTATCGTTG